TAAATCTGAAAGAAAAATGAAATACCGGAGTGACATGCTTTAAGATCAATAACTAAGGAGCAGCATGAAACCTCAAAAGGCAGCAACAAAGAGACCTGAAAGAGACTACTTGGAAATGGTATTTATATTTTAATTTTAATTATTTTGTGAATCCTTATCTAGTTTTATATGCTACTATGGAATTAATTTAATTGTCGATAGTCAATCATTTTATGATTATTATCTTATTTACTATTATTTTGCAGTATTGATTTATTAATTTTTTTTTTCTTTTGGTTTACTCTATATAATTATTTATTGTATTAATTATTTATCTTTGTTTTTTGTATTTATTCTTGTCTTTTATTTCCTTATTTATATTTTATTTTTTCTATTTTCTATTTTTTTTTCTTTTGTTCAATCTTTCTTTTTTTCTCTATTCGTCCTATGTCTATTACTTACTTTTTTTCTTTTTTTTCCATCTGTTTATATATTATTTGGTTATTAATATCTATTTTCTGTTGTTTCTATTGTATTTGTCTTCTGTATATATATTATATATATGTTATTATGGTGTTTTTTTTTTTTTTGTATTTTATTGTATTTTTTTATATTTATGTTGAATTTTTTTATTGGTTGGTTGGTTCAAATGGTTGGGTTATTTTTGTTTTATTATTATATATTGTCCTTATCTCATAGATCTAAGTATTGCAAGATACTTGCAGCAAAAAATATATGATATAGGGTTTGCTTCAAAATAAACCATAAGATGAGAAAAGTATATGAATTTGGGTAAAAGAAGAGTGGTCATGAATTGATAATTATTAAAACCAGACGATGAGTTCATTCTATTTTTCCTCTACTTTTTCATCTTTGAATTAAACAAAAAAAACCTTTTTCCATCACATAATGCTCTGTGACTTGAGGCAAGTTACTTAATACTCAGTTCAGCACTTATAAAAGAAAGGATACAAAATACCTGCTTCGTAGGATTGTTTTGAGAGTTACATGAGTTAACTAATGTAATGCACCTAGAATATTGCCTATCTCATGGAAGGTGATGTATAAATAGTATCTTTAAAAAGATATTCTCAGGTGGTGCAAAAGCAATATATATAACCAAAGCGTTTGTATGCCCATAATATTTTGAAATAAAAAAAGTTCTCCATTTCATGTCCATTTTTTAAATTAAACTTTTCATTTTGAGATCATTTCAGATTCACAATCAATTGTAAAAAATAATACAGACACATCACCTGCTCCATTTACCCAGTTTCTGCCGATGGTAATCTTGTACAACTGTAGTACAACATAATAACCAGGATATTAATATTGATACAATCATGATACAGAATATTTTCAACATTACATGAACACCTCAGGTTGTGCTTTTATAGCTGCACTACTTCCATTCCCCCCTTTAACTTTTGGATACCACTAATCTGTTCTCCATCACCACAATTTAGTCATTTCAAGAATGCTGTATAAATGCAATCATACTGAACTCAATCTTTTGGAATTGCCTTTTTTTCACTTAACATAATTCTCTGTAGATTTAGTCCAATTGTATCAATAGTTCATTCATCCTTATTACTAAATAGTATTCCATGATATGGATGTTCCACAGTTTGTTTAACCATTAACTGTTTGCTGAAGAATATCTGGGTTATTACCAGTATTTGGCTATTATGAATTCAGCTTCTATAAATATTTGGGTACAGATAATGTATGAACATAAGTTTTTATTTCTTTGGGGCAAATGCCCAGATGTATAATTGTTGAGTCATACTGCAGTTTCATATTTTCCTCTTTTAGATATTGCCAAGATGTTTTCCAAATTGACATTGATATTTTAAATTCCCATCAACAACGGATGAATGATCCAGTTTCTCCACATTCTTTCTGGCAATAATTGAATAGTGTGATCATTGTGCTTTAATTTTAGTCATTGTGATAGGTGTGTAGTCCTCACTGGTGATTTAATTTTGTTGAATATCTTTTCATATGTTTATTTGCATCTGTATATCCTCTGCAGAGAAATATCTATTCATATCTTTTGCCCATTTTCTACTTGAATTGCTTTTTAGTGTTGAATTTTTTTAAAAGTCTTTTATCATTTACTGTTCATTTAATATTCAACAAATATTTACTGTACAATACTAAATGCTGGACACTGTTTTGGGTACTTGATTTACATCAGTGAATGAAATATTAATCTCAGCCGTTATAAAGCTTACATTCTAACAAGACAATGACAATGACAAAACAATGACACACTAAAAGTATAGAGCAGATTAAAAAGTTACAAGTACTACAGGAAAAAAATTAGAGCAAGGAAAGGTGGATTGGGGATGAAGGGTGCAGGTCGCAACTTTAGACTGTTTAATTATGTATACCTAAATATGTGTGCATATGCAGGCACATTTGTCTTTTGAACAATAGTAAGGAAATGTAAAAATTAAGAACACAGTTACTAACATACTAATCATACAATACTAACCCAACTTGAAAAAGTGGTTTGTGACATTTGTATCATGAAGAAGAATTTTGGGGGTTATAATAGCTAAGATTTATTGAATGCTAAGTGCCAATCAATTCATTTACATATACTAGCTCATTAAATTCCTCACATGAAGGTGCATTTTATATCTCTAAATGTGTTTTTAAGTTAATTTACTTGTCCAAGGTCCCATAGCATTCCCCATTCTATTTGATGATATCAAGATACTTGAATTATTTGTCTAATTCATAGTGCATTAGACAAATATCTGTTTCTACACACTCCTGCCACATAAGCCTTTTTCCATAGCTTGATTTTAACAAGTCTCAAAGCCTTTGCGTTAACTGCAACCCCTTTACCTGGAACTCTTACCCCTTTGTATGGAAGCCTTCCTCACATTCATGTCTTGGCTTAATGAGACCTCCTCAGGCTTCCAGTGAATAATTCATGCAGGCTGTATCTGTTACCCTTTCTAATTTCCTGCAAAATACTTGCCGTGGTTTCCTCGTTTGGTTGTTATCCTAGAATTACACTTGATCATGTAAGTTTAGTTTACAGAAGTATCTCCAGAACTTGTTTCTTGAAAGAAAAATATACAGATACCCAACATATGAATAGTGATTTTACTCAGTGTAGTAACATTAAGGCTACTTACTATTTAATATTTAAAACTTTTACAACATTACTAGTCAATTAAGTTTGATGATACTCATCAAGTTGAATTTTTTTTTTAAATATTGCAATATATCTAACTTCTCCTTCCATTCCATTCGTGCCCTCTTCTTCAGCACATCCTCTGAAAAAAATTCACATTTGGCAATCATTTCTCAGCCTTCTGTCTTCATCAGATGATACATGGCTTCCTTTACCATCAGTCAAAAACTACCTGCATAAAGGAACGTTTCCAGAGACCCAGCATTTGTACAGCGTCTCATACCTTGGCCAATTCACTATTTTTGCCTGGCCACTGAACTATATACCCCTGATTCCCCAGAGCCGCTCTTGAGCTCCCAGCCCATATTCAACTGCATTGTGTGTTCCTGGGGTCCAAAATTGAATTCTTTTCACCAAGGTAGAATAACATTTGGGGATTTGGGGAAAAAATAACAGGATTCATTTTTGCAAAATGGATAATAATATTGATTATCTTGACCATGACTCATTTAAATGTGAGCTTGGAAACTGCCTGTGTATCATTTAGGGAAAACGATAGCATTAGATTAAATGCTATTGCTGTTTGCACTAAATCTGCTTTGCCTAATATTTGACCAGTTTTAATTCAGATTATATTTCATTAGTGAATTTCTTTCCTCATAACTTTCTTTCCTCAAAACTCCTTGTGCTTATTCTATTATACCATTCTCTTTTCCTTTCTCCATTGTTTACTGTTCTTCATTTCTCAACTTTAGAAAGTAAAACTTCAAAATTATGTTTATACCAAAACTAAATATTCCTTGATTTGGTTTATAATCAGACTATTATTTTAATGTTTGTTTGTTTTTTCCAGTAACTCCTGTTTCTCCACCTTGTTCTTACCTCCATTACTCAGAGATACTTTATTTCCTGTACAAAGCCAAGGTGTTCTATACCCCTTCTTATTTGTTATCATTAATTGCCAAATTGAGTCATTTCTCCATTAAAAACTTATTAACAATTTCTGTGCAAGCATCAATATAAGGCTACATAGGTCGGGAAAATTTCTAAGATCAATCTTCTGTTATGTGACAGAACTTGCTTTCCAATCAAAGTATCTGATTCTAAAGCATGTGGTCTTTCCTCTTTATTATATTGCCACAGGGTAATCAAGACACAAAAGATTTGGCCAGTGGTTTCTATGGATCAATCTGTAAAAGGTTTAAAATATTAATTTGGTGTTAAGATAACACTGGGAACATACTGAGGTGGAAAGCATTCCATTTCACAGAGATCTTGTCAAGGATTGCACTGTATATTGTTGGAAGAAATACTTGATAAGCTACTTGCACTGCTTTCAAGAATAGGATGTGCAAATATAGGACCATGGTTAAACTGTGTGGGACAAGGGAGCAGATTCCACTATCAGTTCTTCTTTGCCACTTATCCCCCACATAGAATTCAGCCACTGTTGTAAATTAGTGGTGAGTAAATATTTAAGAAATATCCATTTGAAAGGGTAGAAAGTGATTAATTATTGGCATCACCATCTGTCATAAGCTGCCCCATACTCAGCTCCTTACTTTGCAGGTTATAAGAAATTCTCATATGAAAAAAAGCATCCATGTCTATACTCCTGCTAAGGCATTTTCCCCACAAGGTATAAATCTATAAATCTATCTGCAATATGTTTAAGGTTCCAGTGGAATAGAAATCATGATATAAGTATATATTTGCTAGCAACTACAGAGAAAAGTCAAAGACCATTTCTCAATCAGAGGCAAATGTAAGCACACCAGACATTGAAACTTTTGGGCCAAATTGAAAGGTTAAAATAAAACTGGAAACAAATAAATCACTGGTAATGTGGTATATGATATATCTTTAATGTTCTCCAGAAGATGAGTTCTTGTGAGTTTTACTAAGAGCGATGGACAGTTGTAAAGGTCGTATTTCCAGGATTGGAAGATGGCACTGAGAATGCTTCAACTTCTTCCAGGATGCTAAAACATTAATATTGGAGTACAACCCACTTCAAAAGATTCATAAATACAGTGAGACATGATCAGACATTGGGAAAAATCTGCACACCAGACATTCTTCTTCAACACAAGTTTTCCACAGCAAATCAGGGTAGAAAATGCAGCAGTCTTTCTACTTTGGAAGAAGCCTTCCCAAAGAAGAAACAAAGACAAAAATATCACAATGTTCATTATGGACAAAGCCAAGATTATTTTTGGTATTACAGTAGAAACAAGTCACTCTAAACATATGCGTACATATTTAAATTCATTGACAGATATTCAAATGAAGAAATATTACAGAAATCTCATTATCACATTTGTAAAACTAGAATGAAATTCTGAGCATATGCATATATAAAAAATGCCTCTGGAGCAGGCTTGAATATGTAGTTAAAAAGTAAAAGACTACTTTTGAAATTTTAGGTTTGCCGATATCATTTTGTTGTAAAGCCAGCATCCATTTTTTCTTTCTGTTCTAGGTGACTGTACTCCATCAGAGAAAATGTATGGTTAAACATCATTCTGGAGTCATATGGCCTGGATTAAAAGATCTGTTAAGGATATAGATAAATTAAGGATTATTGTTTATTTTATTGGTGTGGTCAAGTTTTGGGTTATGTTTTTAAAAGGTCCTTATCTCATAGATCTAGTATTGCAAGATACTTGCAGCAAAAAATATATGATATAGGGTTTGCTTCAAAATAAACCATAAGATGAGAAAGTATATGAATTTGGGTAAAGAAGAGTGTCATAAATTGATAATTATTAAAACCAGACGATGAGTTCATTCTATTTTTCCTCTACTTTTTCATCTTTGGTAACAAAAAAAACCTTTTTCCATCCACTAATGCTCTGTGACTGAGGCAAGTTACTTAATACTCAGTTCAGCACTTATAAAAGAAAGGATACAAATACCTGCTTCGTAGGATTGTTTTGAGAGTTACATGAGTTAACTGATGTAATGCACCTAGAATATTGCCTATCTCATGGAAGGTGATGTATAAATAGTATCTTTAAAAGATATTCTCAGGTGGTGCAAAGCAATATATTAACCAAAGCGTTTGTATGCCCATAATATTTTGAAATAAAAAAGTTCTCCATTTCATGTCCATTTTTAAATTAACTTTTCATTTTGAGATCATTTCAGATTCACAATCAATTGTAAAAATAATACAGACACATCACTGCTCCATTTACCCAGTTTCTGCGATGGTAATCTTGTACAACTGTAGTACAACATAATAACCAGGATATTAATATTGATACATCATGATACAGAATATTTTCAACATTACATGAACACCTCAGGTTGTGCTTTTATAGCTGCACTACTTCCATTCTCCCCCTTTAACTTTTGGATACCACTAATCTGTTCTCCATCACCACATTTAGTCATTTCAAGAATGCTGTATAAATGCAATCATACTGAACTCAATCTTTGAATTGCCTTTTTTTCACTTAACATAATTCTCTGTAGATTTAGTCCAATTGTATCAATAGTTCATTCATCCTTATTACTAAATAGTATTCCATGATATGGATGTTCCACAGTTTGTTTAACCATTAACTGTTTGCTGAAGAATATCTGGTTATTACCAGTATTTGGCTATTATGAATTCAGCTTCTATAAATATTTGGGTACAGATAATGTATAAACATAAGTTTTTATTTCTTTGGGGCAAATGCCCAGATGTATAATTGTTGAGTCATACTGCAGTTTCATATTTTCCTCTTTTAGATATTGCCAAGATGTTTTCCAAATTGACATTGATATTTAAATTCCATCAACAACGGATGAATGATCCAGTTTCTCCACATTCTTTCTGGCAATAATTGAATAGTGTGATCACTGTGCTTTAATTTTAGTCATTGTGATAGGTGTGTAGTCCTCACTGGTGATTTAATTTTGTTGAATATCTTTTCATATGTTTATTTGCATCTGTATATCCTCTGCAGAAATATCTATTCATATCTTTTGCCCATTTCTACTTGAATTGCTTTTTGTTGAATTTTTTTAAAGTCTTTATCATTTTACGTTTCATTTAATATCAACAAATATTACTGTACAATACTAAATGCTGGACACTGTTTGGGTACTTGATTTACATCAGTGAATGAAATATTAATCTCAGCCGTTATAAAGCTTACATTCTAGCAATGACAATGACAAAACAATGCACACTAAAGTATAGAGCAGATTAAAAGTTACAAGTACTACAGGAAAAATTAGAGCAAGGAAAGGTGGATTGGGATGAAGGGTGCAGGTCGCAACTTCAGACTGTTTATTTATGTATACCTAAATACGTGTGCATATGCAGGCACATTTGTCTTTTGAACAATAGTAAGGAAATGTAAAAATTAAGAACACAGTTACTACATACTAATCATACAATACTAACCCAACTTGAAAAAGTGGTTTGTGACATTTGTATATGAAGAAGAATTTTGGGGTTATAATAGCTAAGATTTATTGAATGCTAAGTGCCAATCAATTCATTACATATACTAGCTCATTAAATTCCTCACATGAGGTGCATTTTATATCTCTAAAGTGTTTTTAAGTTAATTTACTTGTCCAGTCCATAGCATTCCCATGCTATTTGATGATATCAAGATACTCGAATTATTTGTCTAATTCATAGTGCATTAGACAAATATCTGTCTCTACACACTCCTGCCACATAAGCCTTTTTCCATAGCTTGATTTTAACAAGTCTCAAAGCCTTTGCGTTAACTGCAACCCTTTACCTGGAACTCTTACCCTTTGTATGGAAGCCTTCCTTACATTCATGTCTTGCTTAATGAGACCTCCTCAGGCTTCCAGTGAATAATTCATGCAGGCTTATCTGTTACCCTTTCTAATTTCCTGCAAATACTTGCCGTGGTTTCCTCGTTTGGTTGTTATCCTAGAATTACACTTGATCATGTAAGTTTAGTTTACAGAAGTTTCTCCAGAACTTGTTTCGACAGAGTCTCACTTTGTTGCCCAGGCTAGAGTGAGTGCTGTGGCATCAGCCTAGCTCATAGCAACCTCAATCTCCTGGGCTTAAGCTATCCTACTGCCTTAGCCTCCCGAGTAGCTGGGATTACAGGCATGCACCACCATGACTGGCTAATTTTTTGTATAGATATTTTTAGTTGGTTAATTAATTTCTTTCTATTTTTAGTAGAGACGGGGTCTCGCTCAGGCTTGTTTTGAACTCCTGACCTCGAGCAATCCTCCCACATCAGCCTCCCAGAGTGCTAGGATTACAGGTGTGAGCCACGACGCCCAGCCCCAAAACAGATTTTTGATTGTTCTTTTTACTTAAATTATTTCTTTCTGTTATTGTTTCAGTTACTTATTATGTATCACACATTTGTTGAACACTTACAAATATGAACCTGACATCATTATTCTAGGAACTGGGAATGGCTAGCCCTTGACTAGTACACCAGTGTAATGGAAAAGGAGGCATAAAATTACAAAAAACCAAATTTCTCAAAAATTACAGGAAAATCCAACATAAAATATAACAGAAATTTTTATAATTAAAATATATACATAATTCATACTCTTTAGAGTCAAGTGTAAAACACATATACGTGTTTCATTCATTTCAGCATGAAAACATATAAGAGGGACACACCCATGCTATTACTTCTTGATTAAAATAATGTTTATACTCATAGACACGCACAATTAGAATATACTTGAAATGAGAATCTTGGGTTATTTTTCACCTTAGACATAACTAAATAGAATTACTAAGAAGCATGGTTAGAGACAGAACTTATTAAGCTGGCTTTTTTTTTTTTTTTTTTTTTGAGACAGAGTTTCACTCTGTTGCCCGGGCTAGAGTGCCATCGTGTCAGCCTAGCTCACAGCAACCTCAAACTCCTGGCCTCAAGTGATCCCCCTGCCTCAGCCTCTCAAGTAGCTGGGACTACAGGCATATGCCACCATGCCCAGCTAATTTTTTCTATATATACAATATTTTGTTCTAAAACCTTAGCATTTGAAAGTTATAAATGCCCAGAGACATAAACATGTTTCAAGGCACAATTATGTAAATAGATGGCAAAGTTTAAGGTAAAGGTGTCAGCTCTTCAACCTCATTTAGTATGAAGGAGCATAGTTTGAACAATAAAATATCTTAATTTGTAAGAACATCCAAGAAACCTTTATCAAAAGGACAGTGTAAACTTTACTAGTTTGGTTCATTAAATTGAAAATAGACTTGGAAAAGGTCATGGGGGATTAGAGGTCAGATAAATCATAATCAAAGCAATTAGCAACAGATTATGTCTCATGAGCTTCCTAGAAAAAGAAATAACAGTTGAAATTGTTGAATCCAAGATTGTCTTTGTTTGCCTAGCCGAAACATAATTCAATAACCAACTACCTTCTTCATTACACAAATGCAAATAGTACTCTCCTTTATCTAAAGTTAAAGGTTGCAAAGGATATGAAGTGATTTTCAAGTATACGCGTGTTATATAAATCATGTCTTTGGGAAAGGATTTGTAGATACTTAAAATCTTCATTTTTTAGAAAGGCTAACTAGAAAGAGCATTCTATATGCAGCTCATTGGTTGGCTTTAATAGAACTTAGATTTAATATTATTAGACATAAGTATTCTGGACTTTTTAGTACAACTCAATGAAAATATATCTAAATCTTAGCTGCCAATTTCTCTTCTTCTTTGAATTGTATTTTAATGTTTCCTATCACTGTTACCATTTTCAGTTCAATTTGTTTTTTAAGAATATGCTTTAAAACACTAATGTCAGTCTCAGAACTCTTGGATTCTGTCACCAAGGAAATAGGTCAGTCTCTCTGAAACTGTAAACCTCAGTTTCTGTAGCTGTGAAATGTGGCTTAAAAACTTGTCTTTTTGACTTTCCTATTAACAGATCATGTATTAAAAGCACTATGCAGGTGTGGGGTTTTCCTATTTTTCATTGTTGGTCTTTCAGAATATGGTGCTATTTCTGAAGGTATAAATTTGGACATAAACCAAAATTTGGAGGAAATGAATTTTTTAAATGCCAGTCTCTTACTTTGTACAAGTATACCAGACACTTAACTATTTTATTAAGTATATAGAGATAAGGAGGCCTAGCAGTGATTTAAATCTGAAAGAAAAATGAAATACTGGAGTG